CCTCCTGCCTTGGCCTCCCAAAGCATTGGGATTATAGACATGAGCCACCATACCTGGCCTGTTTGTGCATTTGGAGTGTTGCAATGTGAGGTGATTCATGGGTTGTATATCTGGGGGCTGAGGTGGTGTGTTTGACAGCGCACTGTGTGCCTCACTGTGTGCCTCACTGTGTGTGTGTGTGTGTGTGTGTGTGTGTGTGTGTTAGTGGCAATGGCATAGTTGTGTGTGTGAGCAGGAGAAAGGGTGTGGGGGATGAATGTGTGATAGTTTGTATGGGATGCTTTGTGTCAGGATAGGGCAAGGTTGGAGCATGTGAGTGATGAGGATTCTGAAAGTAGAATATATTCAGAGATGCCATGGTGTGTGTGTGTGTGTGTGTAGAGGGGTGTGAGGGTGCCCAGCTGTGTGAGTGGGTGTGTTGGGGGATGTCGTGGAGCTGTTTTCTGGTCCCAGAGGGAGAGAGAAAGCCCAGGAAATCTCACTTTCTCCCTGCCCCTGGGTCTCCAGGCAACAGCACCACTTTGAAGTTACCAGGAGACAAGGTTGCCAGGGCAACACAGGCGTGAGTGGCAGCTCTGGGGCAAAGTCTGGGTGAGAAGATCCAGCCAGGGATCACGATCATTCACTTTGTTCCTCCCTTTCTCCTGTTTCTCATCAATCCCACCTCCCTTTCTTCATTGATTTAACGACAGTGTATTTGAGAACCTACAAATGTGCTAGGTGCTATTCTGGTTACTGGAGAGACAGAAGTGAACAAGACCAACAATGTCCCTGCTGTATGTATCTCTCCCTCAGTCTTCCAGCTCCTGTCTTTTTGTCTCTCCTGCCCTCTACTTTGGCCGGCGGTCCTGCCTTCCCCCCGTACCACAAGGAAGGCCCCACAAAACCCCTTAGCCAGGGAGGAAGTAAGTTGAGAGTCCTCATTTCACAGACTTTCAGGGATGGCTGCTGATGTTTTGCACACGAGTGTCCCTGAGCCCGTGTCCCCAGACACACACTCCTGCCCATACTCAGCTGCACAGAAAGACAAGCACACAGCTCATTCCCCTCTCCAACTCAGCTGTCATTGGATGGCATCATCAAAACCACACACAGATACCTGCCAATCACAATATTCCTCTGAGATATCCTAAGCCCCATTTTACAGGAGAGCAAACTGAGGCTAGGAGACTTTAATACGTCAATCATTACGGTCTACTCCTCCAACCCTCAACCCTTATATTTGTCTGATTAGCTGAAAATAATAGTGTTCGTGCTGCTTTCCCTAGCAGCCTCCCGCAGGGAAGGGTCATATTTCCCTCGAAAGCACCCATTCCTCAGCACTAGGTTCTAACCATTTGCCCATTCACCCGGGGCGGAGCTAGCCAAGGTCAATCAAGTTTTGATGGACAGACTCCTAGACCAATAGAGAAACGATAACCGATGCGGCCTCGGCTTGGGCGGGACTAAGGCTGGGAACACGCCATCAATTGGACAGAGTACGCGGCGAATGGCGGAGACGCTGAAGCGGGTGCTAAGCAGGGGCGGCGCGGCCTGGTCCAGGGAGGAGAACACGCCTGCCGCCGGACCACCTTTGCTGCTGCTCGGCGCACCAGGATCTGGAAAAACAACGCTGCTATTTGCTGCGGCCCTAGAGGCGGCGGGGGAGGGCCAAGGCCCAGTCCTCTTCCTGACACGGAGACCGTTTCAAAGCCTACCTCGCGGGACCGGAACGGCTCTGGACCCAATGCGACTCCAAGTAACCGTGGGGGTGGGAGCAGAGGTGTTCTAGCCAATGGTAGAGTCGATCCGGAACGTTTAGTGACAGGTAGACAAGCCAATGGAGGGGACCGTGGAAAGGCGAGCCGGGGGCAGCCATGATGGGGCGGAGTCAGGCGTGCGTAAGGGAGGTGGGACCATGGGGAGCTTTAGATTGAGGGGCGGAGCTAAGCCTGGGTTCATTCTGTACCAGAGTTGGTTACTGCTGGGATCAAGGATGGGCTCGGACCGAGTATGCTGGGAGGCGGTTTTCCATGGAAAAACTGCCCTAGAGATTTGGCCAAAACCAAACAAAATTGTCTTGCCCTCAGTTAATATTCGGCAGTGATGAATGCTGGAAAAAGGGACGAGTACAAGAATATTTAACCGCTCTGAACGGGTTCATCCTGGAGGCAAGGAAAAGCATGTGAGGAGGCAGGGTTACTCTTGCGGGGAGTCTGGCTTCCTGTGCTGAATCTGGCCCTTCTGTTTCTCCTTCTAGAAGATCCGCTTCCAGTACCCATCCTCAACCCGAGAGCTTTTCTGGCTCCTGTGCTCTGCCCATGAGGCCCCGGGGCCAGCCCCCTCCCTTCTGCTACTAGATGGACTAGAAGAGTACCTAGCAGAAGACCCGGAGCCCCAGAAAGCCGCCTACCTCACTGCCTTACTTCTAGATACAGCTGCCCACTTCAGCCACCGGCTTGGGCTTGGGCGGGACTGTGGGCTCATGGTGGCCCTCCAGACCCAGGAGGCAGATAGTGGGGACATCCTGCACCTGTCACTGCTCCGGCGGTATTTTCCTGCTCAGTGCTGGTTGCAGCCAGATGCACCAGGTCCAGGAGAGCATGGCCTCCGAGCCTGCCTGGAGCCAGGGGGACTGGGCCCCAGAACAGAGTGGTGGGTGACTTTCCGATCAGATGGAGAAATGATGATTGCTCCGTGGCCCACCCAGACTGGTGACCCCAGCTCAGGCAAGGGTTCAAGCTCTGCAGGCCAGCTCTGAGCTTTGGTGGGTGACCACGTTTCTATGCTTCAGTTTCCCATGGCCATGTGCAGATCCAAAGACCTAAAGAATGTAAAATGCTTTTTCTCTTTTAAAAATATAGCACTATCTTTTACGTATTGCACCCAATCAATATATTGTTTAGTTTTGTTACTTTAAACTTTATAAAAAGAGTTTCAGGCTGGGTGCGGTGGCTCATGCCTGTAATCCCAGCATTTTAGGAGGCCGAGGCAGGAGAATCATTTGAACCCATGAGTTTGAGACAAACATGGTGAGGCCTCATCTCTATAAAAAAATTTAAAAATCAGCCGGGTGCGGTGGCTCACACCTGTAATCCCAGCACTTTGGGAGGCGGAGGTAGGCAGATTACCTGAGGTCAAGAGCTCAAGACCAGCCTGGCCAACATGGCGAAACCCACCTCTACTAAAAATACAGAAAATTAGCTGGGTGTGTTGGTGCGCGCCTGTAGTCCCAGCTACTCGGGAGGCTGGGGCAGGAGAATTGCTTCAACCTGGGAGCCAGAGGTTGCAGTGAGCTGAGATCATGCCACTGCACTCCAGCCTGGTCGACAAAGTGAGACTCCGTCTAAAAATAAATCAGCCAGGTGCCTGTAATCACGCCTGTAATCCCAGCACTATGGGAGGCCATGGCAGGCAGATCACCTGAGGTCAGGAGTTTGAGACCAGCATGGCCAACATGATGAACCCCTGTCTCTACTAAAAATACAAAAATTAGCCATACATGGTGGCAGCTGCCTGTAATCCCAGCTACTCTGGAGGCTGAGACAAGAGAATTGCTTGAACCTGGGAAGTAGAGGTTGCAGTGAGCCGAGATTGAGCCACTGCATTCCAGCCTGGGTGACACAGACGAGATTCCATCTAAAAAAAAATCAGCCAGGCTTAGTGGTACATGCCAGTAGTCCTAGCTACTTGAAAAGCTGAGGCAGAAGGATCGCCTAAGCCCAAGAAGTCGAGGATGCAGTGAACCATGCTTGAGCCACTGGGCTTCAGCCTATGCAACAGAGGGAGACCCTGTCTCAGAAGAAAAAAAAAAATTAAACCAAAACTCCCATTGAGTTACTTGTTGACACCAAGTGTCATCAGAGTACATGGCCTGATTCAGAATTATTGTTATTATTATTAGTGGCAGAGACTAGCTAGAGGCCCCTTAAACAGCTTTGCTCTTCCTGGGTGTAAAACTAAACTACATTTCCCAGCCTTTCATGTGATTGTGGTCGTGTGACTGTTTCCAGCCAATGAGGTGGGAGAAGAGGAAGACCATTTTCAGGCCAGATCCCTTAAATGGCCCATGGAGGGTCATTGCTGCCCTTTCTCTTCCCTTGCTGACTGTCAGGATGTAGAATAGGGTATCCATCTAAATACCCTAAGAGAAGGTAGAGCCACAGACCAGAAGAGTCTGAACCTCTGACTCATCCCATGGATGGCTGCCAATTTGAGCTGAGTTAGGAGAGAGAAATCACTTAATGTGGTAAGCCACTAAGATTTAGGAGCTGTTTAACATACTGTTTTATTAACGTTATGATTAGTATTCAGATTGCAGGTCCAGAGCTTCAGAATAAGCTCAAGAACTTTAACTTCTACCCCTATGGCCTATGCCCAGGGGAAATGGGGTGTACAGGGTATTTGTAGAAATCATGGTAGAAAAACTTACATACATATGTATAGATAGATAGATAGATAGATTTTTTTTAAAAAAAACTATACATATTTAAAAATACTGCAGCTGGGCACAGTGGCTTATACCTGTAATCCCAGCACTTTGGTAGGCCGAGGCGGGTTGATCCCAAGGTAAGGAGTTCAAGACCAGCCTGGCCAAGATGGCGAAACCTCATCTCTATTAAAAATAAAAAAATTAAGCCGGGCGCGGTGGCTCAAGCCTGTAATCCCAGTACTTTGGGAGGCCGAGGCGGGTGGATCATGAGGTCAAGAGATCGAGACCATCCTGGTCAACATGGTGAAACCCCATCTCTACTAAAAATACAAAAAATCAGCTGGGCATGGTGGCGCGTGCCTGTAATCCCAGCTACTCAGGAGGCTGAGTCAGGAGAATTGCCTGAACCCAGGAGGCGGAGGTTGCGGTGAGCCGAGATCGCGCCATTGCACTCCAGCCTGGGTAACAAGAGCAAAACTCCATCTCAAAAAAAATAAAAAATAAAAAATAAATGAGTCGGGCATGGTAGCAGGCACCTGTAATCCCAGCTCGAGAGGCTGACACAGGAGAATCACTTGACCCAGGAGTCAGAGGTAGTAGTGAGCTGAGATTTCGCCACTGCACTCCAGCCTGGGAGACAGAGTAAGACTCTGTATCAAAAAAATAAAATACAATGAAAATACTGCAAGGTTGTGATTTCCTGAGCAGGATGGGTTGGGCAGACAAAATCAGCAATGCCCCTACTCTTAAGAGAGGCCTTGCTATCCCTGTTCAGTAAGTCTTGAGTCTGCACTGGCTCTCTGGATCATAGTGGATCCCCGATCATCTGCAGGCTGGTGTCCTAAGAGCAAGTCACATAGCTGGGGGGCAGAGGCTCAGAGGCTGGGATGAGGCTGTTCTCATAAGGGTTGGAGGAGGGGCCCTCGGATGAGCCCCCTTGAGCTCCCTGGGAATCCCCTGAGCTATAGTCAGTTGAGATGCCAGAATCAGATACCACAAGGTAGAGGTACTTTAGGTGGGGTGGGGTAGGGGGCAGCTCAAGGCACAGTTCCCATGGACGCAAGAGCTGGGAGCTGGGGTCCAGGATGGTGTACTCAAAACTGGCAGCAGAAGCTCCCTCTGGGCTGGGCTTCAAGGGTAAAGCAGATGTGCAGGAGGATGCTTCTGAGTTTTCATCCATGGCCACTATATCCATACTGCTATCAGGCCGTGGGAGGTCCTCACTGGGAGGACTCTGGGGCAGCAACCACTTGTCCAGCACCAGATAGGTATCCTGGGCATGCTCACTGCCCACCGGCTCCAGCTGGGGACCCTCATCATCTGTCCCTGGCTCCACTGGCTGCATGGTCCCCCAGCAGCGCTCAGAGAGGACTTCCAGGGAGACAGGTGGGTCCTCTGTGAAGGGGGTGCAGGGGCTCCACCACAGACAGCCGTCATTCTGGTACAGCCACAGCTGAAGAAATAGCACCAACCTGCTCAGAGAGGCCTGCAGTTTGGCTGCAAGAAGCAGGGAAGCCCAGGCACTGAGGGGACAGCCAGGCCACCTACCTGGAAATTACCCTTGTGGGTGGTAAAGAGGCCTTCAAACTCGCTCTCTGGGCTTGGGATGCCAGGCCAGATCTTCTGCTTCAAAGCCCTGTTGAAGCCAAAGAAATAGTTACATGATATGACTCACTGAATACTCACCAATACCCCCTCCACTCCCAATCATAGGGGCATAGATACTCCCGGTCTTTGTGATCACAATGGAGGCAGAGGAGTGTATCAGGGCCGGGGGACATCGGTTTTGACTAAATCATCAACAAGACCCTACAAAAGGGTAACTGGAACAGGGTATTGAAGGGTACATAGGAATTCAGTATACATCATTCTCCCTTTAATCCTGGCCATGGCCAGCTGTGATGGCTTACACCTGTAATCCCATCACTTTGGGAAGTTAAGGCCGAAGGATCACTTAAATCCAGGAATTCAAGACCAGCCTGGGAAACATAGTGAGACCCGATCTCTAAAATAAATAAATAAACTAAAACCCTGGCCCAGACTTTTCTAGGAGGTCCGCAAGGTCACTTTATGGATAAATATTATGTTACCTTCTGGGATAATAAGAGAAGGCATTCAGAATAAAATCCAAGGCGGGTGCGGTGGCTCACACCTGTAATCCTAGCACTTTGGGAGGCCGATGTGGGCACATCACCAGAGGTCAGGAGTTCAAGACCAGCCTGGCCAACATGGTGAAACCCCCATCTCTACTAACACTACAAAATTAGCCAAGCATGCATGGCTGTAATCCCAGCCACTCAGGTGGTTGAGGCAGGAGAATCACTTGAACCTGGGAGGTAGAGGTTGCTGAGACAGGCATTACACTCCAGCCTGGGCAACAAGAGCAAAACTGTTTCAAAAAAAAAAAAAAAAAAAAAAAAAAAAAAAGGGCTAGGCTTGGTGGCTCACGCCTGTAATCCCAGCACTTTGGGAGGCCAAGGTGGGTGGATCACGAGGTCAGGAGATTCAGACCATCCTGGCCAACATGGTGAAACCCCATCTCTACTAAAAATACAAAAAAATTAGCTGGGCATGGTGGCGTATGCCTGTAATCCCAGCTACTCAGGAGGTTGAGGCAGGAGAATTGCTTGAACCCGGGAGGTGGAGATTGTAGTGAGCCAAGATGGCACCACTGCACTACAATCTGAGTGACAGTGCAAGACTTTGTCTAAAAAAAAAAAATCCAAACTCCTCCCTACATGCCTGCAGAAGGCCTTGTATGATATGACCCCTGTCACCTCCCTCATCTCAACATCTGCCACACCCCCTTACATACTGCTCTAGCCACATGGCAATTCTCGAAGCTGGCTCAATGTCCAATCTCATTCCCACCTCAGGGCCTTTGCACTTGCTGTTTTTCCTCCACACTTTTCAAGCGGCTGCTTCCTTCCAACCTTCAGGCTTCTGTTCTGATGTTACCTCCTCCTGGAGGCCTTCCCTGACCATCCTGTCATGGACCCACACCCTGTTTGTTTCTGTGATATCACTCATTACAATTTGCAATCAAATATTTTGGGTCCCTTGTTTGTTGACTGTGATCCACAAAGTCAGGGGCTTGTGGTCAGGGTCTGGCTTGTTCTCCATTCTCTCTCCAGTGCCTGGCACATGTTTGGCACTCAGTATGTATTTTCCAACCAAGTAAATAACCAGTTCCATGAAAGACAAATAGAGATTGCTTAGCGAGGCTGAGTGAGGCGGCTCATCCCTGTAATCTCAGCACTTTGGGAGGCCGATGTGGGCAGATCACCTGAGGTCAGGAGTTCAAGACCAGTCTGGCCGACATGGTGAAACCCCATCTCTATCAAGAATACAAAAATAAGCTGAGCATGGTGGCGAGCGCCTGTAATCCCAGCTACTCAGGAGGCTGAGACAGGATAATCGCTTGAACCCAGGAGGCAGAGGTTACAATGAGCCCAGATCATGCCATTGCACTCCGGCCTGGGCAACAAGAGCAAAACTTCATCTCAAAAAAAAAAAAAAGAAGATTGCTTAGCAGACAAGGCAAGAAGGGCATTCCAGCCAGAGGGAGCAGCATGGGCAAAAGCTTGGGGGTGTGAAACCACCTTATGTGCTTGGAATTACAAATACCTCAGAATGGCTGGTCTGATTGTAGTGGCTGAGGAGCTTGACCACAGGGGTGGGGAGGCGTTCAGGGGCTTACATTCTTCCACTAAATCCATCTAGTTGATTTTACAAAGGTGACGACAATGGGGGTAGGAACTAGCAAAGGTATCCAAGAAATGGCAGCTCCTGATGTAGAAGGAAAACGAGGTGAAAGTCCCCAAGAGCAGAAAATGTTAACGAAGAGTCTGGGTCTAGTCTGGCATGCATCCCAGCCCTGCCACTGACGTGTCTTCTCACGTCACTGCCTGACCTTGGGCAAGTGCGTTTCTCTCTCTGGGCCTAGGTTTCCATAGTGAAAGAAGATTGCTGGGTGGGGAGGAGTCTGGGCCAGGTGCCCGCATGGGTAGCTCACCGGCGGTGGGAGAGCAGGGCGAGCACTGTCAGCAGCACCAGGATGAGCACGAGGATGACGGAGAGCGTCAGGATGAGGGGGTCCAGGTCTGAGAGGCAGGGAGGAGGTCAGAGCGGAGGGCTTGCTCGGTGGTTCGCCTGCCTCCTCCTACACCCCGGTCTGGAGCCTCACCAGTAGGCGTCAGCAGCGACACAGGCTCGGACCAGGCGCTCCAGAAGCCGCCGAAGCTCGGCTCAGCCATACGCGCGCGGACAGCAAACGTGTAGCGCGTCAGGCGCCGCAGATTGCTCAGCACGCACTCGGTGCGGCCCTCCAAAATCTCCACCTGGGGACGGGGCCAGGTAGAGCGGGGCGGGGCAGACAGAAAAGACAACATGGGGGCGGGCCCTGGTGGAACCGAGCCAATCAGCGAAAGACAAAACGGGGCCAAGAATTGCAATGCGGCCAGTAAGAGTACGGGGAGGAGCCCAAGAAAGCTCAGGGACAGAGAGGTCTCCGATACCAAGGGCAGGACTCGGGCTGTTCAATAACTGGGCTAGCGTGCGTAGAGAAAGCTGGGAGCTACTAAGGGGTCTAAGGTTACCGGCAGGAGGGCGAGAGGGGTTGGGGTTCAGCAGGATCGCGAGGATATTAGGAAACGGGGAGTTTCTGTGGACCTGGAACGGTCTTCAGCGCCAGGGTAATGGGATGTGGGATGTCAGGGACCGGCCCGGGAGGGGACACCTTGGAGACTGGGCACGATCCGGAGAGGAGGAGAGGAGTGGCGGGGCCAGGCTGTAGTCAGAGGCGCTTTGGGGGCTGGGCCGTAGGGGTGGGCCTCACCCTCTGCGCGCTCCCTGCGCCACTGCCAGCCGAGACGTCCACCTCGTAGCGGATGTGGTACGGCATGGGTGCCCCAGGCGGCGGGAGCCAGCGCAACACCACGTGGCCGCCCTCATCAGCCAGCCGCGCTGCCAGCTCCACGGGGGCATCCAGGAGCACTGCAGGCATGGGGGTTGGTCAGGTGGGTGAGGATTCAGACCCCTCTCCTCCGACCACTTCTCCATTCCCAGAGCACTTACCTACTTCATTGACGTGGATGATACGGTGATATCGCAGAGCGCCGGAGGAGGCTACTGTGACGCGCAATTCTAGAGGCACGAAGCTCGACGTGTCGGCTCTAGGCAGCGAACACCAGAAGCGCACCGTGCCTCGTGCAGTGGGAGCCTGGTGCAGGCGACACCACTTCCATGGCTCATTGCTGTACGCCCAGGGACCCGGGAGAGAAGGGAACAAGTTGAAAGGGGGGACCGGGAAGTTTGTGTTGCCCGGCCTGTGGGAGGCCGTGTGTCTGTGTGTGAGACAAGGTCTTGATTTGTTGCCCAGGCTGGAGTGCAGTGGTGTGATTACTGCTCACTGCAACCTCAAATTCTGGGGCTCAAGGGATCCTTCCACCTCAGCCTCCCAAGTAGTTGGGACCATAGGCATACTCCACCTCACCCGGCTAATTCATTTTTTTGGTGCTGTGACTCGGATTTTTTTTTTTTTTTTTTTGAGATGGAGTTTCACTCTTGTTGCCCAGGCTGGAGTGCAATGGTGTGATCTCGGCTCACTGCAACCTCCGCCTCCCGGGTTCAAGTGAGTCTTCTGCCTCACTCTCCCGAATAGCTGGGATTACAGGCATGCGCCGCCACACCCGGCTTATTTTGTATTTTTAGTAGAGACAAGGTCTGTCCATGTTGGTGAGGCTGGTCTCGAATTCCAGACCTCAGGTGATCTGCCCGCCTAGGCCTCCCAAAATGCAGGAATAGCAAGCGTGAGCCACCGTGCCCAGCCTTTTTTTTTTTTTTTTTTTTTTTTTTTTTAAGATATGGGGATCTCGCTATGTTGCCCAGGCTAGTCTTGAACTCCTGGGCTCAAGCAATCCTCCCATGTCGATCTCCCAAAGAGCTGGGATTACAGGCATGAGCTACTGCTGGCCTCCTTTTGGATAGTACCTCGAGGAGGTGTCCCAGCCCCGACAAAGCAACCCCTTAGCCTCGATTTGGAGGCGTTGTTATCCCAGCCTGATGTTTGGGGTCGCGTTCCAGCGGTGATCGCGGGAGTGTTCGCGTCCCAGCCCATAGGGGGCGTGCCACCCCTGGACCCACAGGGCTCCCTCCAGTAACCCGACTGGAGGCGCCTTCGGGCCTCAAACAGCAGGCGACCTTCGAGGCTAGGACTTCCAGGGAGCTCTGCCCCACCCGCTCCCTCCGCCCGTGGAGGCGCCCTCGGGATCGGACTCACTCGAGCTGGTAGGAGAAGCTGTAGTTGTCCGGGCCCATCCCGGCGCTCGCCGCTTCCTCCCAGAAACACACTAAGTCCTCCAACCGCTCGGTGAAGCACAGAAACTCTTCGGACCCGCGAGCCGCCAGCAAGGCCGCTGGGGAGGGGAAGCAAAGGGAAGGCATGGGGGTCTGAGCTCTGTCCTCGGGCGACAGCCCCCTCCTCTGCCCTCCAGCTGCCTGGGCGGACCTGATAAGAAAAAAGCCCTGCCCCGCCATCTCCCTAAGCGGGCCCCTGGAAGGGTCTGCAGAGGTGATGCCCGCCCTAATTCCCAGGTGCGCGTCGCTCGCCTCACTGCCCCCCGCTAACACCACTCGCGCACACCTGCCCATCCAGCGGCCAGCTGATCTGCGCGCGGCGTTCAAGACCTCGAGCTCGGCGCTGCCAGCCCCGCCCCAGCCCAGGACGTGCGCGCGCCGGTGGGTGTGTGCGGAGAGGCGGGCCCCCTATCGGCCCCAGCAGGCTCCCCGCCGACCGATAGCGCCAACCGTGTCCCCCGCCTCCCTCCCTCCACTGGGCCGGGCAAGTGATCTGGCGCCCTCACGCAAACCGTGTTTACAGTAACCTGCGGCTCGGCCCCTCTAACTCAGACCCCGGCTTTGTCCTTCCTCCCCTACGGAGGGTCGACTTTGTTCCCAAACTCCCAGGGACCTTAGCACCAAGTCTACCCCTTAAGATGTAGCATGTCCCAGACTCCCTGAAAAGGTAAAACGGGAACCTTAAGCCCACTCTCTCTCTCCCCCAGGAAGCGATCAGGAGTTTTGGATGCTGGCATGCCTCACCCCCGCTCCCATTCATCCAGGACCCAGTCTAAGGGTCCAGCTGCCCGCTTGGCCCCCAGGACCCGGTCTGGAAGTCCAGGAACAGTCCTTGGCCCCCAGGACCTAGGGTGAGAGTTCAGATCCCAGCATGGTCCTGCAGGCTCCAGTGGTTGGTGGCGGGGTGCGGGGGGGGGGGCTCCACACACAGCTCCATCCTTACCTTTGTTCTCGAACTTGGAGTCCGGGAGGTTGGGCGGGGACGCACAGGCGGCCCCAGCAAGCAGGAGACAAAGGGAGCCGACCTGGGGCCACAGGGATGCCACGAGGTGGCCCATGATACCCCTCCGCGAGAGCCCAGGACTCCTGACTCTCCGTCTCCTGCCCTTGGCACAGTCCACAGCTGGGTCAGCAGCTGCCTCCACCGGACGCAGCTGACCAGGCCCTTCCCCACCAGGCGCCTCTAAGAGGCAGATCCCCCGAGGGGGCGGGGCCAGCAGTCAGCTTCGGCAGAGATAAGTGCCTGGCGGGAGGGGGCAGGGGCCCTCCCCGGGTCTGAGGCCTCTTGGGGGCCGGGGAGGGAGCTGGGCTGGAACGGCTCGCGTTCTGGCATCAGACACACTTTTTTTTGCTATGTGGCCCTGGACAGGTGACTTACCTTATCTGAGCTTCAGACTTCTCATCTGTAAAATCTAGCCTGGCACATAGCGAACATTCCAAAAAAATGTAAGCTACTGATTTTATCGCGGAAATCAGCATCTTTTCCCAGCCTGGAAATAAACATTTTTATTTTCTTTCTCTCTCTTTGAGTCAGGGTGTTGTCCTGTCACCCAGGCTGGAGTGCAGGGGCACAATCATAGCTCATTGCAGCCTCTGTACTGAAGCAGTCTTCCCACAGCACCCGGCTAATTTTTAAAATTCTTTGTAGAGGCAGGATCCCACTATGTTGTCCAGGCTGGTCTCGAACTCCTGTCCTTAAGCTATCCTCCAGCCTCAAGTATCACCAATGTGCTGGGATTACCAGGACGAGCCACTGAAGCTGACCAATAATAATCCTTATAACGATCAGCAGTTGAGTGTTTGCACAGTGCTAGACCGTGCTGCTGGAGTGTATGTGTAATATTTCATTTATGAATTTTTGGAAAATAAATTCACTGTGTACATTTTTATTCTCTTGAGCTGGGCCCGGTGGCTCACACCAGTAATCCCGGAACTTTGGGAGGCTGAGGCAAGTGGATCACTTGAGGTCAGGAGTTCAAGACCAGCCTGGCCAACATAGTGAAATCCCATCTCTACTAAAAATACAAAAATTAATCCAGTATGGTGGCACACGCCTGTAATCCAGTGGGAGGCTGAGGCAGAGGAATTGCCTGAATCTGGGAGGTGGAGGTTGTAGTGAGCGAAGACTGTGCCACTGCACTCCAGCCTGGGTGACAGAGTGAGACTCTATTAAAAAAAAAAAAAAAGGGGGCCGGGCGTGGTGGCTCAAGCCTGTAATCCCAGCACTTTGGGAGGTCAAGGCAGGTGGATCATGAGGTCAAGAGATCAAGACCATCCTGGTCAACATGGTGAAACCCCGTCTCTACTAAAAATACAAAACATTAGCTGGGCATGGTGGCGCGTGCCTGTAATCCCAGCTACCCAGGAGGTTGAGGCAGGAGAATTGCCTGAACCCAGGAGGCGGAGGTTGCGGTGAGCCGAGATCGCGCCATTGCACTCCAGCCTGGGTAACAAGAGTGAAACTCCATCTCAAAAAAAAAAAAAAAAAAAAAAAAAAAAATCCCTGCCTGGGCAACTGCAGTGACTCAGGCCAGTAATCCCAGCACTTTGGGAGGCTGAGGCAGGGGATCATTTGAGGTCAGAGTTCAAGACAAGCCTGGCCAACACAGCAAAATCCCATTTCAACTAACAATACAAAAATTAAGGTCGTATGGGCTGGGCGTAGTGGCTCACGTCTGTAATCCAAGCACTTTGGAGGCCAAGGCGGACGGATCCCCTGAGGTAGGGAGTTCAAGACCAACCTGACCAACATGGCGAAACCCCGTCTTAAAAAAAAAAAAAAAAATTAAGGTCGGAAGTGGTGGCTCACGCATGTAATCCCAGCACTTTGGGAGGCCTAGGCAGGCGGATCATGAGGTAAAGAGATGGAGACCATCCCGGCCAACATGATGAAACTCCATCTCTACTAAAAACACAGAATTAGTTGGGCGTGGTAACAGGTGCCTGTAGTCCCAGCTACTCTGGAGGCTGAGGAAGGAAATTGCTTGAACCCGGGAGGCAGAGGCTGCAGTAAGACGAGATTGCACCACTGCACTCCCTAGGCAACAGAGGCAGATGCTGTCTCAAAAAAAAAAAAAAAAATCCCTGCTTTCACGGAGTAGTAAAGGCAGCAAATCAATAACAAAACATCAAATACATGTCAGGTGACAATAAGCATACTGACTGAAACAAAACCAAAACACCACCTGCTTAATAGCAATGAGGTGGCCCACATAGTGAAACCTGGGTCTCTACTAAAAATATAAAAAACTAGCTGGGTGTGGCGGTGCCCGCCTGTAATCACAGCTACTTGGGAGGCTGAGGCAGGAGAATCGAATGAGCCCGGGGTGGGGATGCGCGGAGGTTGCAGTGAGCCGGGATCGCACCATTGCACTCCAGCCTGGGTGACAGTACAAAAATCTGTCAAAAAAAAAAAAAAAAAAAAAAAAAAGAACTCCATGCCAATCTCTTCCTAGGAAATTGATATTTGGACTGTTCGAGTGTGTGAGAGAGAGGTAGACAAACAAGACAGACACCTGTTTCATAACTTTGGTCACAATAAACTGTGATTACGAATGGCAAATTTGGCCCCAGAGTTAAGTGCATGTTTTCTGGAGTTTGATCAATATTTGACCACCCACCTACCATGGGGCCTTGAGTAAGTTACTTAACCCTCTTTAGTCTCAGTTCTTCATGGATAAAGTGTGGAAGATACTCTGGGTGACATGGTGAGACCTCGTCTCTATAAAATTTTTTTTTTTTAAGTAAGCCAGATGAGGTGGCAGGCGTCTGTGGTCCTAGCTACTCTGGAGGCTGAGGTGGGAGGATCACTTGAGCCCAGAAGGCGAAGGCTTCAGTGAACTATGTTCACACCACTGCACTCCAGCCTGGGTGACAGAGTGAGACTCCACCTCTATAAAACATTTTTTTTTAAGAGACGGAGTCTTACTCTGTCGCCCAGGCTGGAGTGCAATGGTGCCATCTCAGCTCACTGCAAACTCCGCCTCCTGGGTTCAGGACGTTCTCCTGCCTTAGCTTCCCAAGTAGCTGGGACTACGGGTCCTACTACCATGCCTAGCTGATTTTTTTTTTTTTTTTTTTTTTTTTTTTTTT